GCTTTGGGTGTGGCCTCTGCGAATGAAGCTCCTTTGCGCTATCACAACTCTAACGCGCAGCGGTGAGGTCTGGCCTTCAGGAGCCGAGAGCTTTTGTAAAACGCGGCCTGGCGCTTCCCTACTTCCTTTTCACCCTGTTAGTGCCTCAGACTCTCCAAACACCTGGGGGGAAAGCCCACTTTATCCACCACAGGGACATGGCCGAAGGCACAACCCTTTGGAGAAGTCAACTAAAATCCTTACACCTTCATGACAACCATGGAATCAGATCCTGAAACTAGGAATTGCTGACAAAAGGAAAATGTCAGTGTTCTTAGCAGAAGATCTAAAGCAGAAAAAATAAAATCAAAGGAAACCCCGGACCCGTCACATCCTCATTTCCCACCCCTCTGGCCCCTGGTGGAGGCACCCGCACTGGGGACACTGCTGCCGGGCGCTCAGCTACCACAGGGCCTTTGCACTTGGCAATTCTGCTGCCTGGAATGCCCTTCCTCCCCGAGTGCCATTCCCGTGGCGCATTCCCTCTCTTCCTTCAGCTCTCTATTAACATTGTCGCCTTCTCAGTGAGTAACCGCCTCTTACTGACGCCTGCCTGTCCCACTAGGACACAAGCTCCTAAGGACAGAGATTAATGTCAGATGCCTCACTGCTTCCCCACCGGATTTCTTTCATTCAAAAGTAATAAATTATAATGTAATATGTCGATTATAGCACAACACAAAAATAAGAAATAGGCAATAAATTCACTAATCAAAATTCTAGCAGAAGTCCAACGCAGGATTACAGACATCGAAATCAATAAACAGCCGAAACCGGTTTGGTTCCGTGGATAGAGCATCGGCCTGCGGACTGAAGGGTCCCAAGGTTCGATTCCAGTCAAGGGCATGCACCTTGGTTGTGGGCACATCCCCAGTGGGGAGTGTGCAGGAGGCAGCTGATCGATGTTTCTCTCTCATCGATGTTTCTAACTCTCTATCCCTCTCTCTTTCTCTCTGTAAAAAAATCAATGAAATATATATATATATATATATTTTTTTTTTTAAAGAGCGGTAATATGCAAATGGTTGTTATGCCGTGATGCATAACGACAAGCAGAGAGCTACATGGGGGGGGGGGCAGCGAGCTACGAGTGGCAGCGGAGAGCTACAGGAGAGCTCAGGGTGGCAAGCTATGAGCAGTGGAGGCACGTGGCAACTCGCACACGGATTCGTGAGCAGGGCTACCAGCTTAAGTATAATGTCCTCTGAGTCTATTTGTGATAGCACATTAAAAGTAACTACCTTGAGCGTCAGCCTGCAGACTGAAAGGTCCCAGGTTCGATTCCTATCAAGGGCACGTACCTTGGTTGCGGGCACATCCCCAGTAGGGGTCGTGCAAGAGGCAGCTGATGGATGATTCTCTCTCATCGATGTTTCTAACGTTCTATCCCTCTCTCTTCCTCTCTGTAAAAAATCAATAAAATATATTTATATTTTTTAAAAGTTAACTATCTTGCAAACATAAAACAGACGCGGTTCCGAACTCAGGTGGGCAAACAGATCTATGGTGCTCAGGTAGGCAAACAGTTCTATTTATATTAGGTAAACTCAGGCTGACAAGGGAGGGTAAGGGTATGTTATACAGAAAAAGAGAAAGTGAGGCAACTACACGGCAAACGTGAAGTCCCTCTTGCCTCCTCGCGGTGCAGATGCCAGTGGAGAGCCGAGGAGCCTGCCACGGGGTGCAGAGGGGCCGGAGCCGCAGCCCGGGGAGCCGAGGAGAGCTGAGGAGCCTGCCACGGGGTGCAGAGGGGCCGGAGCCGCAGCCCAGGGAGCCGAGGAGAGCTGAGGGGCCTGCCACGGGGTGCAGAGGGGCCGGAGCCGCAGCCCAGGGAGCCGAGGAGAGCCGAGGAGCCTGCCACGGGGTGCAGAGGGGCCGGAGCCGCAGCCCAGGGAGCCGAGGAGAGCTGAGGGGCGGGCCAAGCGGCCAGGAAAGAAGGGGGATGCTCGAGAGGAGTGCTGAGGGGGAGGCGATGGCCCACCATCACCACGCGCAGGATTCGGCAGGCAGGCAGGATAGGTGCCAGCTACCCATGGACAAGGGGCATCACCACAAAGACCGAGGATCCAGGGCACAGGGCAGGCCCCCAGACAGACACAAGGGCCCTCCCTGCCCACCAGGAGAGCACAGCCAACTCCCCAGACACCGGGAGGAAAGGGAGGGGCAGAAGTCTATGGGATTGTCTATAAGGTTTTCTCAGAGAACCTGAGCAATATTTAAATGAGTTACTCACAATTTAAGTAGGGTTTAAATAGTAATTTTTCCATTACCAAGCAAGACATCAAAAAAAAAAAAAAAATAGATTGTGTATAGACCAAATAAATATGTTCTCCTCACATCTGAGTCTGTGATGTCAGTAAATATACGAAATGCTTTGAAAAGCATCGGCAGCCCATCCAGAGATAATGATAATTATGGGACATGCTAGAGGTATCAGCTAACACACAATGGCAATTACAGTGCAATACAAATGTGTCAAATCAATGTCCAACACCCTAAGCTTACAGAATGTTACACAACAATTATACCTCAATAAAAAAATTTCAAAGCATCAGCAAATATCTGATCACATGTGAGAATTTCTTAGACATAAAAGTAGTAAAATATATAAAACAAAAAAAATAACAGATTAGACCATATAACATTTTAAACTGTAGTATATTACACAAAACAAATACAAATCTAGCCAATTTTTTAAGCAGGAAAATTAAATAAGAATTAATGTAATACCGCCAACACATAAACATTTGAAGATTGGTCAAGCACTACAATACAAGTTAGCAAAGTCAAAAAGAAAAGTCAAAAAGGATAAGCAACTAATAAACATTTGAATATCTGTTCGGTCACACAAGTAATCAATAAAACCAAACTCTAAAAAATTCCACTTTTTAACTATCAAACAAGACAATGCATTCAAACCCAATTTGTGTTGTCAGAATGCAATGAAATATACTGTTAGAAATGAGTAAAAACTTTAATGTAATTGAGCAAAACGTTATTCTTTTTAATCCAATACCCCCTTACAGTAATCTATCTGTGATATAAAGAAATAATTAGTGATAGAAGCAAAAATTGGTATATAAAGACAGTTTACTGCAGCATTATTTATAACTATCATAAAAAGGGAAACATAAATGATCAAAAAGGTATATTTTGTTTGTATACTTATAAAATATTCCTTATTTATACCTAATTATATACTTATAAAGTATACCTTGACCATATAAAGCATTAATACCCATTAAAAAGAGTTTTCAAAGATTACTTAAATATATGAAAAATGATCATTATATTAAGTGAAAAGAAGGTAATGTTATGTACATGAGATGAACAAATTATGATATAGTCATACAAAGGAACATTACTCATCAATTAAAAAAAAAAGAGCAAAAACCAGCCAAAACCGGTTTGGCTCAGTGGATAGAGCGTCGTTGGCCTGCGGACTGAAAGATCCCAGGTTCGGTTCTGGTCAGGGGCATGTACCTTGGTTGTAGGCACATCCCCAGTAGGGGGTGTGCAAGAGGCAGCTGATCTATGATTCTCTCTCATCGATGTTTCTACCCTGTTTCCCCAAAAATAAGACAGTGACTTATATTAATTTTTTCTCCCAAAGTTTCGCTAGGTCTTATTTTCAGGGGATGTCTTATCTTTCCATGCGCTAGGTCTTATTTTCGGAGGATATCTTATTTTCGGGGAAACAGGGTAACTCTCTATCCCTCTCTCTTCCTCTCTGTAAAAAATCAATAATATATATATATATATATATATATATATTTTTTTTTTTTTTTAAGAGCAAAAACCAGATAGGAAAAACATAAATGAATCCCTAAAAAGAAAAGTAAACAAAAAAACAACAACATTATATAAAGTGAAAAAAGTCTGATGCAGAAGAGATGCTGTGTGAGTCTGGTTATATAAAGTTCAGCAACGGGCAAAACTAGTCTATGGGACAGAAGAGTGGTTACTTCAGGGAGGAGGGAGGAGGGAACTCCTGGGCGGGGAGGATGGTGACAAATGAGGATTCACACAAGTAAAAAGTCATCAAATACTATAATTACACATATACCTAAATAAGATAATCAAATAAAGTCATCAAGAAGTACATTTAAGATTTGTACATTTTATCATTCATATATACCTCCATGAAGTACTATAGAAATTGCATATTATGGGTAACTTCAATTTGGTTAAATATGTTTATATGTAGAGTAAAAAATATATATAAAGTACATCAAAATATTAAAGGTGGTTAAATCTGGGGTTGCAAATTATTTATAATTTCTTTTTATCTTTCTGCATTTTTCACTTTCTCCATAATGAGTTAAATTACTTTTACAAATAATCAGAAAAAGATTATAAACCTTTATAAAAATTCTGCCATGCTTGTAAAATAAAATTCTGTTACACTTATAACTATCACAAAATTATGGATATGTACAGAAAGACTTAGTAAATCCTCCCTACAAACTTTTTATAAATTATTAAGACTCTTATAGGAGAGAATTTGAGTAGACTCTTATTCCTTTTCACAGTACTAAATTTTACTAATGTGTCCTATAACTTCACAGTTTTTATCCACCATGAAAAACTGTCTTTAAAAAAATTATAAACACTCATGCTTGCAGTATATTCGGACAAATTAAGGAAAACACTAATTAAGCTAACCACCTGCGTGGTGAGGAAATGAGCAAGGCGACCGGGCAGTCAGCACTAGACTGCGGCATGTCTTTAAAACATGACCCCACCCAACACAAACTGGGTCTCGTGACTCAATAAAAACTAGTTCCTGAAAACCAGTTGTTCTTTTAAGTGACATATTCCTGAGAGTCTGATTTACCTAAGTCCCATGAAATATGCCTGAGGTCAATACTGTTTACAAGGAAAACACGCCTCGAGTTTCAGAACCGTTTACCACACGCATGAACTAATAAATGAGAACAAAGCCAAAAGGGCAGACGCACCTCTGGTTGTACATGCCCCGGAAGTTGTAATTAGCTCTGTAATTTGGGAAGGGCTTTGGATCCAGTGGCCTGTAGATGGCAGGCTCTCCCCTCTTCATGGCAAGCCCATTCAGTTCCACGGTGGGGGTGATGCTACCTGTGAAGGCACACAGCAAAGGCACACAGTGAAGTATTTCCCTAATGAATCGTGCCAGCTCTCTCTATTACATGTAAACACCATGGAAGAAGGTCTGATTTTCCAAGGAAGTGCATAAACAAACTAAACAAACAGGAAAATCATTCCCCAAATGAAATCTGGGATTTGGGGTTTTGCAACATTTTCCGTACAGTAATGGATGGCCCAAAATTCAACTTTATAGTGATACTATTTCAAAACAAGGCAAACACAAGTTTCACAGATTGCTCAATTCAGATATTATTAAGAAAGTGTTGAATCTCCTCATTACTTATCCCAGAAAACTTACAATTATCTAATCATTAAACATTATCATCTGTGAATATTTTTACTTATATTTGCAATTAAGCAACTAAAAGTAGCAAGGAACACAGTCATCAGTATTCTTGGATTTATCTAATGAAAATAAATTTGAATTTATTCTATAACCAACAACAGGACAAAGGAATACAATAATTAATGCTTTCTGTAGATAATCTTCATAGATACATACAGAAGCATGCATGGATGAAGTGATATATTTGAGATTAGTTTCAAAATAACTCAGAAGAGAGAAAGGTAAGAAACAAAATTGGCCCTGGCTGGTGTTTCTCAGTGGTGAGAGTGTTGGCTTGTGCACAGAAGAGTCTTAGGTTCGATTTCCTGTCAATGGGCACATACCTTGGTTTCTGGTTCGATCCCCGATGCCCCTTCTGGTCAGGGAGTGTGATAAGAATGCAGGGAGGCAACCAACTGAGGTGTGTTTCTCTCTCTCTCTCTCTTTCTTCCTCCTTCCCTCCCTTCCACTCTCTCTAAAATGCAATGGAAAAATATCCTTGGGTGAGGATTTTAAAAAAATGAAACAAGGTTGGCCATCATGTGTGGATAACCACTGAAGCTGGGGATAGGTACAGAGATATTTTCTATCTTACTCTCTCTATTTTAGTACAAGTTCAAATAATTATATAACGAATAATGCACAATGTAAAATTATGTCAAGTTATTTTAAGTACCAAAAGAAGTTATTTAATAAAATATATTTACATTCATTCCGTGTAACAAAGCACAAAAACAAATCTGAAGCTTTCTTAGAAAGTAAGATTTATTTGCAATGTAAATTCTGTGCACAGTACGTTTAAGACTCCATTCATCACATACAAAATTGGGCCTGGTTCCTGCCACAGTGAACCCGGGGCCGGCCCAGAGCACCAGCAAAGGGGTGGGGTCTGACCCCAATGCAGCCCTGGCAGCCAGCCAGGCCGCAAGCAACCCACCAAGCCTCAAGAACCTGCTCACGGGGTCTCATCCCTAAAGAATTCGTGTGAAACCATGGAAGAGTTTAAAGGAACAAGAATAAACCGAGGTTAAGAAAGGGGGGAAATATGGGACAAAGTAAAGGACAAAGGAAGAGGTGGGAAAGAATAAGGAAAAAAAGCAAAGTTATTTGAATTAGTCCAAATCCCTAATTTAATCCATACGCACAGGGCAGAGGAAGAGAAAGTCCAGCAGGAAGGAATTTTCTTGCCCGTCTTTCATTTGTTCAGTATTTTACCAAGGGAGAAATAAGATGCACAAACCGTAAGCATATGGCTCCATGAACGTAGACACTCATTCAGATTAAGGTACGAATGTTTTCATCACCCGGAAGGTTCCTCATGCCATTTTCCAGTCCAGACCGACCTCCCCAAGGGGCCCATTCTGACCTCTGTCATCATTGATCCGTTTTGTCCTTCGAATCCGAATAGGAATCATTCCGTCTTGCTTCTTTCACTTGACATAATGATTTTATTGAATATATCAGTAATTCAAACTATATTTCATCACTGAATATTCCCATGAATGAACATACCAGTTTATCTAATCTGCTGTCGCTGCGACATCTGGGATTGTTTCCAGTTTGGGGCTGTTAAGTGAAAAGCCACCTTGACACTCACTTGCTCTGGGTGTGGATACCTAGCAGTGGACCTGCTAAGTCATAGAGTAGGTTTATATTTAACTTTATTACGGACTGCCTCACAGTTTTCCAGAGATCTGTATCCACACCAAAGAGCAGTCTATGCCTTTAAAAGCTTACAATCCTCTTCAGGAAGACTCCAGTTTAATAATTAACATGTAAATCAGCTGTAAGATTTTTGTCATTTTGAGTTCTCCTTTGCCATCATCACAGACACCAGCAGCCTCCAGGTCACACGGGGTCCTTGTGAAGGAGAGAAGGGGAGCGGAAAAGCACAAACCATGCGGAAAGGGGTCCTCTCCCTGGAGGAAAGGCTCCCCTGCTGTTCCACCAAGAACTAGATGAAGGCAGTGATGTTTTCCCACAAAACACTCTTTAAAGAGTAACTTCAAACTCGGAGCTTCCTCCATGTCATGCTCAGGACCGTTATCTTCAATTGGGCACAGGCTACATAGAGAGAATCATTACTCCTGTGTCACATGGCTATAAGCAAGACTATACCCACAAGACCCTTTTTCAGTAGGTTTTAGCCACATTGAAGGAAATGTCTACATTCATCGGTGATAAATATAAAAAGGCTAATTAGATATACAAACGTCTATAGCTACAATTGTGGACTTCTAGTATGTGGCAGGTGAAAGAAAATTGCCACATCTCACTGACACTTGAGGCCACAGCTTTGTAGGAAGTTAGAACAGTCCCTAGATCACAGTAGTTGCTCAATAAATATGTGTTGAAAGAATGAATGGATTTCAGGGCTCCTTGGGGACCTGGCTGGCACCAGGGTTAGGGCCAGGGCCAGGAAAATACCAGTCGGCCTGGAACAGCTATTGTGCCAGAAAGGAAGAAATGACCAGAGAATGAGGAGGAAATAGAGAAGGACTCAGGGATTGACTAGAAGGGGCCATACCACTGGCCAAATCTGGGACAAGGTGAGAACTGAAATTAATAATGATAGATTACACGCCTCTAAGTTAAATAGGAATGCAGTAATCTGTGGTGATATGCATAAACAAACAAATGAAAAAATCGAGAGGGAAGAAAAGCTCTTAGGTAGAATGCCAACTATTAAATCTAAAAAGAATACTGTAATCTAAAAATCACCCATTGGGAAAGAATATTTCTCTTGTTTTAAATCACAAAAGAAAAAAAATCACTGTGGTGCCTGGCCAGTGTGGCTCAGTGGTTGAGCATTTCAACCCCATGCAACCAGAGATCACTGGTTTGATTCCCTGGCAGAGGACATGCCCCAGTTGTAGGCTGGATCCCAGCAGGGAATGGGTAGGAGGCAGCCAATCAGTAATCCTCTCTCATTGTTGATGTTTCTATCTCTCTCTCCCTTCCTCTCTGAAATCAATAAAAATACATTTTAAAAAAGAACATGCTTTAATTGTTGCATTCACTATTCAGTTTGGCTAAAACGCTTGTTGGTTTCTTTAGTGCGTCTAGTTGATGCCTAAATAGCTTTCTCATTTTTTCCAACAGATCCAGAAATAGAAGATTGTGATGCAAGAACACCTGTCCTTTTTGTGGCATTCATCTACTTCCGGCCTTAATTCATCTTCTGTTGTGACTTAAGCATGAACACGTGCATAACCTATGACTCAACCACTGCAATCCTAGGTACAACCCCGACAGAGATGTACTAGTATATGTACAAGAATGATCACAACAGTATTAGTTCTAAATCATAATCCCAGCTGGACACAACCCAAACCTCCATCAATAGTACAACAACTAAGAAAACTGTTGGATATTCATGCAATGGGATACTATAGAGCAATGGAATACCACACTGCTAAACACAACACAGATTATTCTCACAAGCATAATATTGAGAAAACAAGCCACCTGGCGTATGGCTCCGCGAGCCAGCACAATGCAGGTGAGACGTCAGACACCAGAGCAGTGTTCCCTTTGGAGTTGTGTAGCCACCGCACAGGGCTGGGGCCCTGGCAGAGCCTGTGGTAAAGCGATCAAAGAGCCAAGATCCATCAGGGCTCCCACCGGGATGCGTGCGCCTGCTGGTACATCCGACTATACTCCATCTTAAAGGTTTACCCCCAAATCTACTCATTCTCTCCGCTCACTGCCACCTCCAACAGGGGAAACACATCTCTCCTGGCCCTCAGGCTCGGTCCTGCTTCCTTCCTCTGGCCTCTGGGCTGCTGTGCCTTCCGCAATAACCCTGGAGGTGGGCCTGACCAGAGCACGGCACACACACTCTTGCTCCATTCACACCAACCGCCCTGCAGAGCACTGTACTGCCACGGCAGCAGCCACTGGGCCAGCAGCCACTGGGCCGGCGGCAGCCACTGGGCCGGCAGCAGCCACTGGGCCGGCGGCAGCCACTGGGCCAGGAACTCCTGTCCTGCTCCATTCTGGCCACCACTCCCAACAGCCCTGCAGCGCAGGGGCAGACAGAACTCAGTGCACATGACTTTCTTTTCTCGTTTCTTCACCCATAAACTTTGGCAGGGGGTTCCTACCTGATCGTGTTTTTAGTATTTTCTACCTTCCATTTACATGTCAAATTGAACTTCCTAAAATGCTTTTTTAAACATATCACCCACCACCTCGTAAGTATTAATCCACCAAACTAAGTCCTCCTTTAACATCGACTTTAAGCCAGATGGAAACCTGTATGAGGAGGCCACGTCCCCAGAGGCTAAGTGATAGACACGGGAGTGAAGTTCCTGCAGCACCTAATGAAACGAGGTGATCGAGGACCTGCTGTGTGGATAAAACTTTATGTCCTAAAGCTGGCACTCAAGTTCATCACAATCCACTCCTTAAATACATCCTCAGTCATATATATATAATTTTTTTAATTGATTTCAGAGAGAGGAAGGGAGAGGGAGAGAGAAAAACATCAAAGTGAGAAACATCGATTGGCTGCCTCCCCGACACCTACTTCTGGGAATTGAGCCTGCAATCTGGACATGTGCCCTGACCTGGAATCGAACTGGGACCTTCTGATGCATGGGACCACACTCAACCTACTGAGCCACACCAGCCAGGCTACATCTTCAGTCTTATCCCTTAATGGTCACTTACCTGTTCTAACTAAAAACCATCTACAACTTTTTTTTAAAACCAAACCAATTGTCCAGATTCCAATTCCAGTACCTTTCCTCAGAGTACAGTCTTCTCTCCTCTCCTCTATGCCTGCCCACTCTCCAGTCAAGACCCACATCTCACCTCAGCTACCTCCTGCCATTGGTATTACTGACAACACCAACGGCCATTATCATTCACTTGGTACTTAACCTTTACCATTCATTGAGTTATGTGATTTATATATATGACTGTAACATCTTACATTTTACATACTTCTTAGATCTACATATATGAGTAAGTTCTTAATAAACAGAAGTAGTGGTGGTGATCATTACTAATGATCATCCAGTAATCTAAAGAGATTTTAAAAATCAAATAAGTAGGTAGCTTCTTATCAACTTCAAACTGAATAGGCATGTTGTTGTTTTTTATTATAATAATAGTTTGCCTTCTTTAAACTTACTTAATACTGGAATCAGCCCTAACCAGTTTGGCTCAGTGGATAAAGCATTAGCCTGTGGACTCAAGGGTCCCAGGTTTGATTCCGGCCAAGGGTAGGTACCTTGGTTGCAGGCACATCCCCAGTAGGGGGGGGGGGGGTGTGCAGGAGGCAGCTGATTGATGTTTCTCTCTCATTGATGTGTCTGACTCTCCATCTCTCTTCCTCGCTGTGAAAAATCAATAAAATATACTTAAAAAAAGAAATACTGGAATCAGCTGGGCAGAAGCAAAAGGCCTAGTAATAAGAAAGTCATGGAGCCGAAACCAGTTTGGCTCAGCGATAGAGTGTCAGTCTGCGGACTGAAAGGCCCCAGGTTCGATTCCGGTCAAGGGCATGTACATTGGTTGCGGGCACATCCCCAGTAGGAGGTATGCAAGAGGCAGCTGATCGATGTTTCTCTTTCATCGATGTTTCTAGTTCTATCTCTCTCCCTTCCTCTCTGTAAGAAAATCAATAAAATAAAATAAAAATATTAAAAAAAAAAAAAAAAAAGAAAAGAAAGAAAGTCATAGAGTTCTGGAAAGAACAGCTCTTGCAAAAGGAGATTGTGTCTATGTAATAGGTGCCACGTGAGCACAAGAAGTGTCTGACTTGATTACAAACTTAAGCCTGTGAACTATAATTAAATAGATTATAGGGTCATTGTTGGCAGGCAAAATGTCTTTTCGTACTCCATCACAAAAACACCTAAAGCAACACTGGTCAGAAGTAACTACCTGAATTAATAAGTTAATGAATAAGTAAAAGGATCTAGGGCTGGTACTAAACTTATGAAATTTTATTAATTTGATGTGAATTCATGCACCATGTCCAACACAGGTTTGCCTCTGCCCAATAGATTACTGAACATATAATGTTGTGGCATTATATGCAGAACAACTTTTTTAAATTATTAGTAGAAGCTTAAAATCAGAGCATTCATTTATTAAACACAGAGGGGGTTGCTTTCTTTCTTATTTGTGGGCTCCTTACTAAATTTCATATGAATGTCCTAAACTAAATATCATTTCTACACCAACAAACAGAGTAATAAGATGCTTAGGCTAATTTTATAATGTTTCATTAAGCTAAAAAAAAAAAAAAAAAAAGAATAACCATTTTAATTATTAAATTTTATATGACATATTGAAAAATAAAAATTGAACATTTCTATCTTTACTTTAGGGAAAAATTCACTCTTATTTCTGTTCTTTGTATCCAAATTTCTTTTCGCCCAAGATTGAAAAAATAAGTAATGGCCCTTGCTGGTGTGCCTCTGTTGGGTATCAGTCCCATGAACTGAAGGGTCATGGTACATGCCCAGGTTGTGGGCTCAATCCCTGGTGGGGAGCATGCAGGAGACAACCGATAGACGGCATCAATGTTTCTGTCCCTCTCACTTCCTTTCTCTCTCTCTAAAAAAAAAAATCAACAATAAAAAAATATTTTTTAAAAAAGAAAGGAAAATTCAGTAATGTACCATGATAGTATCCACTAAGGCAACATTTTTTTTAAAAATACATTTTATTGATTTTTTTTTTACAGAAAGGAAGGGAGAGGGATAGAGAGTTAGAAACATCGACCAGTTGCCTCCTGCACACCCCGTTCCGGGGATGTGCCCGCAACCAATGTACATGCCCTTGGCCGGAATCGAACCTGGGACCTTTCAGTCCGCAGGCCGACGCTCTATCCACTGAGCCAAACCGGTTTTGGCTAAGGCAACATTTGTAATTAATTACAATTACCTTCTTCATTCTCTCACACTCAGTGATCATTCACCTGTCTTTCTCATACGTACAATTAATACGCCTGCTGACTATACAGCTGGTCTGCCGTAACGGACAGACCAGCACACACAGAACACACAACATGGCGGAGGAAAGGAGTCCGTTCATACCTGGGTTATTGTTGACATTACTTTTGGGCGGTTTCTGAACGGGCTTGGGGAGAGTAGATTCGGTCAGAGCTTTACTAGCCACTGCCTGTTGGGCCTTCTTGATGCTGCTCCCTTCCGATTCCCATGTCTGCTCACCGAGGCTCAGCTGCACTGAGAACATCTTAGGAAAACATAGGAAGAAACACATGAAAAGTTTTCAGGGAATCGAATGTGCCCCCCGAGAGAAAAACAGATACACCGCAGAATCACATGTTAGAGCGAGAGGTCCCCCACAGATCATTTGCAAAAAAATCGTATGGTTTGACCTTGTGAACCAATATTAAGAGCTTGTGCCAAATCTGTTCTGACCTAGCCAAAGGCTGAAAGGCATACGTGAGCATTTGGGGTAGGAAAATCAAAAGAAATCACGTCCCTAAAAAGGATCATGTTGTTAATGCCATTCAAACAGCCCTCAAAAAGCAGAGTACTAAGTACAAAGAGTCAAGAGAAACTGTAAGGGAATCCACAAGGCCCTGTCTCTGTAACACTTTATAAAATTAAATTCCTTAAACTCATACTTAGCATGATCGAGTCAATAAGTCAGGCAACCCTATCAAATATTATGTCACCAAGATTCTCTCAATCCTCCACAATCACCATTTAGCCAGTCACCAAAATCCGCCCATTTTAACCTCCTGAGTATTTCTCACTCCTCTCCGTCTGCCAGTGACGCTGCGTTGGAGTCAGATTTTCACCATCATTAGCTCAGACATAATCACCTCCCACATGATTGCTGATAAGACTATCTTCCTAAAGCTCAAATCCAATTGCAGCGCCCCAACCAACAGCAGGTTAAAACCCTGCAAACTGTTCCCGCCCTAGCCGGTCCCACCTGTCAGCCTTCACTTCACACCCTAACTCTCCACTCATACCACATTTCCTCATGAGTCCCAAACCTATTGCTCACCTTGAGAATTTAGAATCAAGTTACAGGGTACGAACACAATCCACTTTTTTACACCACATATAACCATACTCTCTAGTAATACAAAATATTAACCCCAAATGCTTTTCAATTAAAAATAAATAATTGCAGAAAGGAGGTCAAACAGAAAATACCTTAGCCAAGTGATTAAATTAAATCATTAATAATCACACGAACTGACACCACAAACCTCCTGATATGACCCAGTGAGAAGACTGAATATCCTTGATCAAAAAATGTTAGCCTGAATCTAATCACAGGGAAACAATCAGACAGATCAGATGATGGTATATTCTATAAGGTAACTGGATTATACTCTTTGAAAATAACAATGTCATGAAAGGAAAAAAAACAAAACAATAATAGCTATTATAGATTAAAGGATGCTCAAGAAATATAAATGCATATGATAAAGTACAACAAATGACCCTTGACTGGATGTGTACTTGGAAGACAAAGAAATAGAAAAGGCATTTAGAGAACAACTCAGGAAATTTGACTGGACTATATACTATCAAATAAGACTTTCAGTCAAAGTCAAATCTCTTGAGTACTGTGGTTATGTAGAAGAATGTCTCTGATCTTTTATAAGATGGATAAATAAGAACATAGCAGGGCCCTGGCCAGAGCATTGACCCATGCCCCAAAAGGTCTCCAGTTATCCCCTAACTGATTTGGCTCAGTGGATAGAGCGTCGGCCTACAGACTGAAAGGTCCCAGGTTCGATTCCAGTCAAGGGCATGTGCCTTGGTTGCGTGCACATCCCCAGTGGGGGCATGCAGGAGGCAGCTGATTGATGTTTCTCTCTCATCAATGATTCTAACTCTATCCCTCTCCCTTTCTCTCTGTTAAAAAATCAATAAAATATATTTAAAAAAAAAAAAAAAAAAAAAAGTCTCCGATTAGATTGATTAGATTCAAGGTAAGGACACATGCCCAAGTTGCAGGCTCAATCCCAGTAGGGGGAGTGCAGGAGGCAACCTATCAATGTTTCACTCTCACATCGATGTTTCTCTCCCTCTCCCTTCCTCTCTCTCTAAAATCAATAAAAGCATACTTAAAACAAGCACAAACAAAACACTGGTAAAAATTTTTAAAAATCTATGAAGCAAAAACTAATAGAACTGTGAAGAGAAACAGAAAACTCACAATTAAAGTCAGAGATTCAATACCCTCTTCTCTCAATAAGTGATCTAACAATTAACAAGCAGACAATCTCAGAGAATTTAAGACTTGAACTACACTCAATGAACGTAACCTGAATGATATTTTTAGAACACTCTACCCAAAGAGAACAGAACATACATGAGTTTCAATTTCTCATAAAACATTTACCGATTTCTAGCACTAAATGCCTATACTAGGAAAGAAACAAGAGATCAAATAAGTTAATTTCAGCTTCCATCTTAAGGAATTGGAGAAAGCAGGAAAAAATTAAATCTAAAGTAAACAGGAAAAAAATTAATAAAGATAAAAGCAAACATTAACAAAATAGTAAAATAATAGAGAAAAAAATCAATAAAACTAAAAGCTTTTTTTTTTTTTTTGCAAAGATCAATGAAATTGGTAAACCTGTAGCCAGACCAAATGTGAAAAAAAGAGAACACACAAATTACCAATATCAGGAATAAGAGAGGTAATTACAGATTATTTAAAGTATTAAAAGATAACAAGAGAACATTTTCTAATTTTATAGGCCAATATGCTCAACAACCTAAATTCCTGGAAGACACAATTACTAAAGCTCATTCAAGAAGAAATAGGTAACCCTAATAGCCCCTCTATATGTTAAAGAACATAAATATGTATTTAAAACTCTTTCCACAAAGAAAAATCCAGGCCCAGATGGTTTCAATAACAAATTCCACCAAATATTTAAGGAAGAAATAATATCAATTTATAAAAACTCTTCTAAAAACTGAAGGACCACTCCCCAACTTATTCTATGAAGCCATTACCTTGATACCAAAACCCATAGTATGATACTACTGAAGAAAACAAAACTACAGATCTTTCTCACACAACTAAATATAAAAAATCCTTAACAAAATATTACCAAATGGAATCCATCAATATAGAACTGAAATAATATATTTTAACCAAGTGTTTTACTCCAGGAATACAAGGGTGGTTTCTACATTTGAGAATCAATGTAATTCACAATGTCATAAGATGACAGACAAAAAACCATATGACTACCTCAATCTATGTAGAACCATCTGACAGAAATCAACAGCTATTCAGGTTAAAAACTCTCAGGAAATGATAAATGTAAAAGAATTTCCTCAATCTGTTTAAAGGCAGCTACCAAAAAAGAAGCTATATATAAAAGCACAATTATTTTGGGGGGGCGGGGGGGCCAAGAAAATAGATTTTAAATGGCTGCCCATAAGATCAAGAACAGATATTGGCTTCCATAACTTCTATTCAACATTGTACTGTACGTTCTAGCCAATGCAATTAGGGAAGAATAAATAAAGAACATCCATAGAACAGCAATGATAAATAAAAACAAATAGAAACTAAAATATAAAAAAACAATACCATTTACAATAGCATCAAAAATATGAAATACTTAGGATAAACCTAGATGTGAAATACCTGCTCAATGGAAACTACAAAGCATCTCTGAAAGAAACTAAAGAGTAAATAAATGAGAGAGATTTTGAGGATGGATTGGAAGATTCAATGTTTCTAATATCTTCATTTTTGCCAAATGGAGCTATAGATTTATGGCAATTCTATCCAAAATAACATCTGCTTTACAGAATGGAAAGCTGACTTTAAAATTCATATGAAAATACAAAGGATGTAAAATAGCCAAAACAATCCTGAAAAGGGATCAAATTAGAGGGCTAATACAATGCAATTTCAAGACTTACAAAGGCACGGTAATCAAAACAGCGCAGCATAAAGATGAGAAAATAGAACAACCGAACAGAGTCCAAGCTGATTGGTGACAAAGGGGCACAGGCAATGCAGTGGAGAAAGAATTAACTCTTCAACAACGACAAAATCAAAAGCCATTGGTTTTATAGAATCTGGATGTTGTTCCATATCTCACATCACATAAAAAACTAAGTCAGAATGGCAGTTAGACCTAAATGTTAAGACCAAAAACTATAAAACATCTAGAAGCTAACATAGAAGGAAATCCCTATGATCTCCAATGAGGCAAAGACTTCTTAGACACTACACCAAAGGCACCATCTATCTGAGAACAAATGGATGTCAGGGACTTAATCAAAACTAACAACTGCTCTTTGAAAGGCAAAGATAAGACTCAGAGTAGGAGGGAATATTTGCCAAGCACATTAATGAAAAACTTGCATTCAGAATATGTAAAAAGTGACATCATAGCTGAGACCGGTTTGGCTCAATGGATAGAGCGTCAGCTTGGGGACTGAAGGGACCCGGGTTCGATTCCGGTCAAGGGCATGTACCTTGGTTGTGGGCATATCCCCAATAGGGGATGTGCAAGAGGCAGCTGATCGATGACTCTCTCTCATCGATGTTTCTGGCTTTCTATCTCTCTCCCTTCCTCTCTGTACAAAATCAATAAAATATATTAAAAAAAAAAAAAAGTGACATCACAGAATATGCAGAGGAGGACGCTGCAGTGCAGGAATAGTGAGTATCATGTAGTAAATACTCAATAATTATTTACCAAGGATTTTTTAAAATCCTATACATTACTGCCCTGGGCGGCTGCCTTATCAGCCCACGCACCGAAACCAAAGGATCACCGGTTTGATTCCCGGTCAAGAGCACATATCCGAGTTGCAGGTCTGTGTCACTCTTGACTTTACACAATGAAAGGAAAGCTCGTTTTGACTCTTTTTTTTTTTTTTTTAATATATTTTACTGATTTTGTACAGAGAGAAAGGGAGAGAGATAGAGAGTTAGAAACATTGATGAGAGAGAGTCATCGATCAGCTGCCTCTTGCACACCCCCCTAATGGGAATATGCCCGCAACCAAGATACATGCCCTTGACGGGAATCGAACCCGGGACCCTTCAGTCCCCAAGCCGATGCTCTATCCATTGAGCCAAACCAGTCTCGGCACGTTTTGACTCTTTTTGCTTGAAGTTAGATTATAAATTTGGATTAAGTTATTTTCATGAATGTTATGTTAAAATTTAAGTTCAATCCCCGTTCAGGGCATGTGGAGGCAACCCATCAACATGTCCTCTCA